ATTTGTGATCCAGCTCCGGAAGAATAATTTATTATTACAGTGAATACCAAGAAATTTTTGATTCAATGTTAAATGTTGAGTTTGTTAAAGGTTTACCCGATGAAATAAAACTAGATAAACGACCGACTTGGATAATTTTTGATGATTTAATGTATGAAGCATCAAATTCAAAACTAATAGCTGAATTGTTCACAAAAGGAAGTCATCATAGAAATCTATCAATAATATTAATTTGTCAAAATTTCTTCATGAGAGGAGCTGAAAGTAGAAACATTTCATTAAACTCTCAATACATTGTTTTGTTTAAAAATCCAAGAGATCAATCTATTGCAACATCTTTAGCTAGACAAATGTTTCCAACTAAAATTGTAAAATTTCAAAAAGTTTATGAACATGCCACATCACAAGCATTTTCATATCTATTCATTGATTTAAAACCTGAAACTCCAAATGAGGTTAGGTTACTGACAAATGTTTTTTCCATACCAATATTTGCCTATCAACTTGTATAAGTCGAACAGTTTTGGTAATCACCATCAAAATGACCGTCAAACAAGCAGTTGAAATCTATCCAACATTACAAAAGCTTGCAAGGACAAAGAAAAAGACTGAAAGAAAAAGTATTTTATCTTCTTGTCCATGTAAAGTTTTTCATGTTTTGTCTGAAATTGCAAGAAATATTTTGAAAGGTGTTATCAAAGTACCGAGACATAAATTAAAATCATTAAAAGTATATAAGAATGATTTGAGAAAAATTGCCAAACAAAAAAACAGTTCACGAATTAAAAGAACTTTGATTCAGAAAGGAGGCTTTTTACCACTATTAATAAAGCCAGCTTTATCATTATTAGCTTCAATCGTTGCGTCAAAAATAATGAAAAAATGAACACAATAACACGCATGTTATTAATCCCAGAGGATCAATATAAAGATCCATCCAACATATTGTTTGAAGCAAATATTCCTAATGATAGGAAAATAAGATTATTAAACAATTTAATGTTGAAAAAAATGGAGAAGAAACCTGAGCAAATTAACATGAAAGCAATAATCGAATCAAATTTAACAGCCGAACAAAAAGCAAGATTGATTGATAAAATTCAAAAGAAAACAGTAGAAATTGGTGTTCAATCCGAAGAAGCTGATGATCAAGAAGAAAATGTTTTTTCTACACCTAGAGGAGAATTTTTAACTCCTTTTTCACAACAAACAACACAACAAACAACACCAGTGAATTCATCTTCTACTGCTAGGACAAACCTAATGCAAGCTTTTGTCACAGAATCAC